AACTCAGAATTTGTAAGTGGCATGAGGAACATCACAGGCTTCATGGCGACCAGCAACAGAGGTGTTGATGGCAGCATGGACAGGGTCAGCGCTGCGGCCACTCCACTAACTCCTCCCCCTCATCTCAGCCCATGATCTTCAGTTCAGGGTCCTTCACACCCCCCCTAGGACTACAGACCGGTGGTACTGATGTCCCACATCATGAAGACCCTGAAGAGACTCGTCCTGGATCAGCTCCAGCCAGCAGTCAGGTCCCACTTAGATCCTCTTCAGTTCGCCTACCAGCCCAAACTGGGAGTGACTGGCTGTAAAGCAAAATTGTCCCTCGGGGATAATAAAGTTTACCTTGACCTTGACCTTGAGGATGCCATCGTGTTCCTTCTCAACCGCGTCTACACTCACATGGACAAGCTGGACAGCACTGTGAGGGTCATGTTTTTTACTTCTCCAAAGCTTTTGACACCATCAGACTGGATATACTGGGTGAGAAAACAACAACCATGCAGGTGGAGGCTACTCTAGGGTCCTGGATTGTTGTCTTCCTGACTGGGAGACCACAGAAGGTCATTCCTACCTGTGGCCATCAGACTTTATAACTCATTTGTTTGAGAGTCAGACACTGAGTCTGCTAATCTTCCTGGACTATTTATCTGGACTTGTTTGACATCTGGTAACTTCTCTACCATATTGTGTTGCTGTTTACTGTAACTGTGCAATCTGCAATTTAGTAAAGTAGTAAACTCTAAGACTTTAGACTTTAAAAAATACTGCAAAAGTTTTCAAAAAGATAGTCGACAAACCTTGTGAGACATAACAGAGTTTCAGTACTTTAGTATTTAAAGAGTCTGAGGTCTGAAGTTTTGGCTGCAGGGGGTGCAGTTCCTGGATCTGACCTCCTCGTTTCTCCTTCACCTCCCCCCCTCAGTGTCGCTCATGTTGTCCAAACAGGCTGAGTGTTCGAGCCGAGCAGCAGGATACACATTATACACACATACACAAACGCATGGACACACATACACAAACACACGGACACACACCTGTTCAGGGTTCCTGAACACACACACACACACACACACACACACACACACATATAAATGTTATGGGAGCAGTTTTCATTTTTTCAGTAGAAGTCAGAATGTCCCCAGACTCTGTTATTTTTTCCTCTCAATGTAACACACACACACTCACACACACACACACACACACACACACACACACACACACACACACACACACACTGTGTTTCTATAGGCTGAGACGCTGCTGGGAAAATGTTTCTGCAGTGACACAAACTGCTTCATAAAAATTCAGCTCTAAAACACTGCAGTCTCTCACTATGTCACTCTCTAACTCTCTCATTCTCTAACTATGTCATTCTAACTCTCACTATGTCACTCTCTCACTATGTCACTCTCTAACTCTCTCACTCTACAGTGGACCCATCATTAAAGATCAGCCTACAGTGGACCCATCACTAAAGATCAGCCTACAGTGGACCCATCACTAAAGATCAGCCTACAGTGGACCCATCACTAAAGATCAGCCTACAGTGGACCCATCACTAAAGATCAGCCTACAGTGGACCCACACAGTTTTAAAATTGAATAAATATATATATTTAAATCTTATTTTCAGTGTTCTCTTTTTATTATAAATCATATTAAAAGGTGTCATGCGGCTTTTGGATTAGGAGTAACCTTTAATCCAGTGTTGAGTTGGGAATGCAAGATATCTAATAAACCGGAGCCTTTACATTTAATATCTAAATATAATATTGACTAATCATGATTGAAAAGGCTGGTTTTCTTCTCTATGTAGCATGCTAACTGCGTCTACAGAATGAAATAATAGAGGAGTGTTAGAAAGTGACGCGTGTGAATAGGTTGTTGTAATTCCTTCTCCAGCCAGTAGAGGCACTGATGAGCAAGGCCTTAAACCCTCACACACCTTCAGGTCCCCTGGTGGCAAAATTAGTAAAGGTAGGTACACAGCTGGCGCACCATCAGGGGGCGGGGCTTGTCAGGGCTATCAGAGAGAGCCGGTGATCAGGGGTAATGCCCTGGGCTCTTAGAATTGTCCTGCACCAGTCGGGGACAGAGATCACACTCTGATTGGCTCTCAGTCAGCAACTCGGGGCACGAGAAGAGAAACGAAAGTGGAGGAGGAAAACAACCGACAAGTCAGGAGGGCTTGCACAAAAGTCTATTCTCTCCGTACCGTCTCCTAATCTTCTGACATTTTCTCAAGCCGAATTAATTACAAACAAAAAATAAAAATCAGTCGAAAAAAGCTGCCATTTGAAAATCCTATTCTTCCTTGTTTGTCAAATGTCCGACTGACGCCGCCTGCTGGTATGGAGTGTTATTGCATGGAGGAACAAACTCATTAGCAGCGGGTTGCTGTCAGTTCGGTGTGAACTTTGCAACTTTTTGGCACGATGGCGGTGGACGGACACAGCAGTCCATTTTCATTGTAACGTCGTAACGAGGAGCAAGTCCAATGTTAGGTACGCAGGTGCACACACACACTCACACACACACATCCCGTCACACCCTCATGGACAGACGTGCTCACTCACCTGCAGCACGGCCTTCAAGGTGCTCTGGTTCACGGTGGTGGTGCAGATCTTCTCACCGTTGCGTGTCACCTGACCCATGATGAAGAGCATGGGCGTGGCCAACGCGAATGATGCGAGCCACATGCCGCTGATGAGCTTCTTTGTGCGGCTGCGTGACATGATGCTCTTGGCTTTGAATGGATGGCAGATGGCCATGTAGCGCTCCACGCTCAGACTGGCGATGTTCAGCGCTGTGGCGTACGAGCAGCTGTCCCTTAGGAAGTAGTACCCACGACAGACGGCGTCCCCAAACATCCAGGGGTGGTGGAACCAGATAAAGTTGTAGAGCTCGATGGGCATGGACAGAACCAGAATGAGCAGGTCGGACACGGCCAGGCTGGCCAGGTGATAGTGTACCGTGCTCTGCAGGTTCTGCAGACTCTTCCTACTCAACAGCATAAACAGCGTGATGGCGTTTCCCACAGAACCCACGACAAACAGAAAGCCGTAGATCAGGGTCACCACCACACGAGAGTACACGTCTGTGTTCACCTCCAGATCCTCCTCATCCTCCAAATCTGTGCTACTGTTCACAAACAGCGAGGTGTTTCCAAAGAGAGAGCGCTGAGCGTGCAGTCCGGCGAGCGTCAGGTTCACATCCATCCTCAGAGGCTATGAGTGTGTGAGTGTTTGTGTAGTAGTGTATGTGTGTGTGTGTGTGTCAGAGCAGACACACTCAAAGAGGCTGTGAGTGTGAGAGAGGGAGAGAGGGACAAGTCTGTGTTTGTAGTAGAGTGTGTGTGTGTGCGTGTGTGTGTGTGTATAGTAGAGTGTGTGTCAGGCAGCAGACACACACAGAGGAGCAGCGTGAGGTTGTCTCTCTCTGGTTCTCAGAGTACGTCCGTCTGCAGGAGAGCAGCTCTTTTATATTTGGCTCGGCAGGATGCGCGCTGCTCATTGGATGAGCTGCAGTGACGCACAACCATTCAGAGAGCAGAGCTTCAGTGTGTGCGTCCAGGCATCACCCTGGAAACCAAAGAAAAAAAAACAGCAAAAACAAACGAAAAACCAGATAAAGATCACAGAGTCTGAGACTTTAAAGATTTAATGTTTGTGGTGATAAAAAAAGAGAAGTGGGAGACAGAGAGAGAGAGAGAGAGAGGGAGAGAGAGAGAGAGATAGAGAGAGAGAGAGAGGAGAGAGAGAGAGAGAGAGGGAGAGGGCGAGAGATGGGGGAGAGGGAGAGAGAGCGGGAGAGAGGGAGAGAGGAGGGGGGGAGTTGTTATAGATATAGAAACTGGTGATTTTTTGTCTATTTTATAAACTGTTGTCTGTCAGATAAAGTCTGTGTGTGTGTGTGTGTGTTGGAATTCATGATGTTTAACATAAACATGACGTCAGGGTTTGTCCCTGAAAGAAACACCAAAAAAGGGGACCGATGGGGTGAGGGGGAGGGGGGGGGGGTTTGGACAGGGGTGAAACACACAGGGACTACACAACCTCCGCTGTTGAAACATGAAGCCGATGCTGAAGTGTAAAATCCTGCAGTTCCTCGAGTGTCCACTAGAGGCTGGCTGCAGAAGCACAGGAAGTCACATACACACCCATTCTAAAAAGTCTGTTTTTACAGCAGAGATGTTTACAGCCTGGTTCAGAACGAGAAGAAGTTAAACTTAAACACTTCAAGGGCACCTCAGCAGTGCTCTAAAAGTGGTCTGTGCCAAGACTTGAACCAATGACCCTCCAATTCCCAACCCAAGTCCCTACAGACTGAGCTGCTGCCGCCCGTGCTTGAAGTGTTTGCAATAAAGGCTGTGAGACACATTCAAGCATGACACCTAAAGTCCCACTTTGTGGCTGAGTTGGAAGTTTGTTAATTTATGTCCCTCTTTGAATGATTCCTCCCATTGTTCATCTCTTATTATAATGTTTGTTTCTAGTTCCCATTTTTCTTTAACCCTCATGTTGTTATCTTCATATTCATGTTGCAATGCTTTATACATTTTTGAAATAACACCTTTCTTTGTATCTTTTTCTGTAAATGACATAAATACTTGCTCCATTTCAGAGGGTGCTCTGCAAATTTTATCCCATTCCTTATGGTTCTGAAGATAACTCCTTAATTGTAGAAATTTATAAAAATCTTGTGCAAGTAGACTAAACTCCTTTCTAAGTTGTTCAAAAGACTTCATGTTCTGTCCTTTAAACACTTGTGCTATATAAACCAATCATTTGTTTGCCCATTTGTTGTATCCTGTATCCATAGTGGAGGGTACAAAATCTGGATTTAATGCTATTTTAGTCGCTCTGCAAGTGGAGTTTGACAGTCCTAATTTCTTTCGTACTATCGACCATATTTTCAACGTTTCTCTAGTAAGTAATCTTAACTCCCCTCTGAGACTTTTCTGACAGAAAGGGAAGAGCAGCTAAAGGTAACCTTGGACATGAGTTCTGTTCCATTCATACCCAAATAGAATCTGTATCATTCGTTATCCACATAATAATAGCCCTTAGCTGTGCTGCCCAGTAATACTTTTTTAAGTTTGGTAAATTTAAACCTCCTTTCTCCTTCGAGCAAAGAAGAACAGTATACTTAATTCTAGCTTTTTTATTTTGCCAAATAAATTTTGATATGATCTTGTCTAGTGTTTTAAATATGTAATTGGGAACTCTTATAGGCAGCGACTGGAACAAAAATAATAATCTTGGTAAGATATTCATTCTCACCGTTTCTATTCTCCCTATCAGAGTCAGAGGCAGGATTTCCCATCTAGCTATATCCCTTTTGATTTCTCCAATCAATTTTCCATAGTTTGCTTCAAAAAGCTGTGATATGAGAGGGGTAATGATGATACCTAAGTATCTAAACCCATTGTTAGACCATTTGAAATGCACCTTCTTCTCTAGTTCTGCTGGATATTTGCCTGAGAGCATCATAGCTACGGATTTAGACTCATTAATTAAATATCCTGATATTTCTCCATATTCAGCCAATTTATTTAACAGAGCTGGAACAGATGAGGAAGGTTCACTTATATAGATTAATATGTTGTCTGCAAATAACAATATTTTGTGTTCCAAACCCCCCTCATCTTTAATTCCTTTTATGTTTTTGTTCATTCTTATTGACTCCGCCAGGGGTTCAACACTAACAGCAAACAGTAATGGACTAAGACGATCACCCTGCCTGACCCCTCTTTTAAGGAAAAAGAAGTCTGGGCAGCATCCATTTACTCTGATTTTTGACTTAGGGTTATTGTAAACAATTTTTACCCAATCTATAAATGTTGTGTTAAACCCAAACTCTGCCAGAGTTTTGTATAAAAAACTCCACTTCACCCGGTCGAAAGCTTTTTGGGCGTCTAGACTGAGAAACATGGTATTCTGTCTGTTATTCTTAGTATATGTTATAACATTCAATGTTTGCCTAATATTGTTAGCACTTTGCCTCTCAGAAATAAACCCAGTTTGGTCCGAATTGGTTATTTTCTTTATATTCTTTCTCTAAAGTGAATGGTACTGATTTATTTATTAATATGGCTACACCCATTTTCTTGCCGTATGAGGCATAAAATACATGGTTTACCCATTCTCTATTCAGTTTTCTATGTTCAACCACGGTTAAGTGTGTTTCTTGTAGAAGAGCTATAGAACATTTCATTTTCTTTAGTTGGCTCATTATCTTTTTCCTTTTAATGGGATGGTTTGCACCAAGGACTTTATATGAAATTATATTTAGCTTATTCATCTGGTTTCCTTTTAAACCTTTCAACTCGGCACCTTTGTGGCCAACTTTTCTGTCAGCTTCAAATTAGTTTTGCATCATTAACCAGCTCACTATTATTTTTCCATTTCAAGTCCAGCAGATATTCTGGTTGTTTGACTGTTTGTTTTATAACCTTAAACTATAATGAATAAATGAGTTCACTTGAAAAAGACATGCATGTCCTCCTCTGTCATACAAGGTTGCCTCCTCTTCTTCCTCCATCCTGTCACTGTGGTCCAGCTGCCCTGCATCATCACCTTCTGTTGTCTCTCCGTTTCATCCTCTGCAACATTGATCCCCATCTCTTTTAACAGAGGCGCAGTCTCCCGTAGTGAAGCAAAAGTCTTAGTCCCAGAGTCCAGAAACACTTTGAGCTGAGCAGGATAAGGAGACTGTGCTTTAACGTTCTTCTCCTTTAGTCCCGCACTTGTTTCCTCTTTCTTTGCACCTCCGTCATGTAGTCTTGGTTGAAGTAAATGGCCCGTTCCTCGTATGTAGTCTTTTGTTTCCATGATTTTTGAATGACATTTTCTTTCACCTGAAAGTCCAAGAAGCGAACAATAATTGCCCGCGGCGGTGTGGTGTTGTCCCTCGGTTTGGCGACCAGGGAGCGGTGCGCTCTTTCAATATGTATTTCCATGTCGTCTGAGACTTGTAGTTTTGCGCGAATAAACTCCTTGATAAATCCAGCGGTGTCGTTTTTCTCCGAGCCCTCTGGGATACCATGTATCCTAATATTATTTCCTCTTCTTTCTTCTAAATCGTTGCACTTCACCTCTAACTTAGCCTCTTGGTGTAGGAGAAAAGCCACCGTCCTTTCTAGCCGCGTCACCTTTTCTTCCGTCTCTCCCAACCTTTCCTCCATGTCTAGTGTGTGTTTCTCCAGCGAGGCACTTCTCTCGACCAGTTCTTTCACATTAGTCTCCAGTATGGTCAAAGCCTTCTTATTTTCGTTTACCGCTTCCGAGTGTTCTTGTCTGAGCCGGCGTAGCTCCGCTAAAATGATCGAATCCTGCTGGCTGTCACCACCGGCCAGCGGCTAAGCCGCTGGCATTGCTCCCCTCGTGGAGTCAGTACATGTTACATTCACGCTTTCCTACTTATTAAGTCTTCCCTTTTTCTCCATCTCTCCTGATTTACTTTCTTTAACTATTGCCTTTTAGTTTTGTTTGAATTCTGCCGTTAGTTATTAAATATTGGCCGGTTATCAGTTGGCTTTTTTTAGAGCAAAATTTCCCCCTGTCTACTACAACATGGCACCACCGGAAGTCTTCCTGAGCTTTTTCAACAACAAAATTCTAGACATCAGAGACAAAATTGGTAACCTCCTGCCCTTACCTGGTGCAGATACGTCTGATATGGCAGAGACAGTTCCAGGACCTGATATTAGTCTAGACTGTTTTTCTCCAATCAACCTTTCAGAACTAAATTCAATTATTTCTGCGTCGAAACCAGCAACCTGTCTTTTAGACCCAATCCCAACCAAGCTGTTTAAGGAAGTCTTTTCCTTCGTTAGCAACTCTATATTAGATATGATCAATATGTCTTTACTGGCAGGCTATGTACCACAGTCATTTAAAGTAGCGGTAATCAAACCTCTACTCAAAAAACCTACTCTGGATTCAGGAACTCTAGCTAACTATAGGCCTATATCTAACCTTCCCTTTATCGCAAAGATCCTGGAGAAAGTGGTAGCTAATCATTTGTGTGACTTTCTCCATGACAACAGTTTATTTGAGGAGTTTCAGTCAGGATTTAAAGTCCATCATAGCACTGAGACTGCACTAGTTAAAGTTACAAACGATCTACTTCTAGCTTCAGACAGGGGACTTCTCTCTGTGCTCGTCTTGTTAGATCTTAGTGCTGCTTTTGACACTATTGACCATCAAATCCTATTACACAGACTAGAACAATTACTTGGATGTAATGTTAATGCTAAATCCTCTATGCACACCAAAGTTAGCCATGGAGTGC